CTCTTGTCTTTGTCATACTTAGTGTAATATTCCGGTTGATCTTTCCCCTATGTGCATGTGTTTTCCATCTAGTCTAGCATCTCTTGTCTTGTTCAGACTTAGTGTAATGTTCCGGTTGATCTTCCCTACATTTGCAAGTGCTTTCCAATCAGTCTAATCACTCATTGTCATGTTCATACTTAGTGTGATGTTCCTGTTGAACTTCCCTTCATATGCAAGTGTTTTCCATCTAGTCTAATCACTCATTGTCATGTTCCTACTTTGTTGATGTCCCGGTTGATCTTCCTTTCAATGCATGTGCTTTTCCATTAGTCTAGCATATCTTTGTCATGTTCCTACTTAGTGTGATGTTCCAGTTGAACTTCCTTTCAATGCATGTGTTTTTCCATTAGTCTAGCATCTCTTTGTCATGTTCCTACTTGGTGTGATGTTCTGGTTTGTCTTCCCTTGAATGCATGTGTTTTTCCATTAGTCTAGCATCTCTTTGTCATGTTCCTACTTGGTGTAATGTTCCGGTTGATCTTCCCTACATATGCAAGAGTTTTTCAACTAGTCGAATCACTCATTGTCATGTTCTTACTTAGTGTGATGTACCGGTTGATCTTCCCTTCATATGCAAGTGTTTTCCATCTAGTCTAATCACTCATTGTCATGTTCCTACTTAGTGTGATGTTCTGGTTGATCTTCCCTTCATATGCAAGTGCTTTCATCTAGTCTAGTATCTCTTTGTCTTGTTCTTACTTAGTGTGATGTTCTGGATGATCTTCCCTTGACATGCATGTGTTTTCATTAGTCTAATCACTCTTTGTCTTGTTCATACTTAGTGTGATGTTCTGGTTGATCTTCCCTTCATATACAAGTGTTTTCCATCTAGTCTAACATCTCTTTGTCTTGCTCATACTTAGTGTGATGTTCCGGTTGATCTTCCTCCCATGTGCGTGTGCTTTCCATCTAGTCTTGCATCTCTTGTCTTGTTCATACTTAGTGTAATGTTCCGGTTGATCTTTCCCGTATGTGCATGTGCTTTCCATCTAGTTTAGCATCTTTTGTCTTGTTTATACTTAGTGTAATGTTCCGGTTGATCTTCCCTACATATGTAAATGTTTTCCAACAAGTCTAATCACTCATTGTCATGTTCATACTTAGTGTGATATTCCTGTTGAACTTCCCTTCATATGCAAGTGTTTTCCATCTAGTGTAATCACTTATTGTCATGTTCATACTTGGTGTGATGTTCTGGTTGATCTTCCTTTCAATGCATGTGTTTTTTCATTAGTCTAGCATCTCTTTGTCATGTTCATACTTAGTGTGATGTTCCGGTTGGTCTTCCCTTCAATACATGTACTTTTCCATTAGTCTAGCATATCTTTGTCATGTTCCTACTTGGTGTGATGTTCCGGTTGATCTTCCCTTCAATGCATGTACTTTTTCATTAGTCTAGCATCTCTTTGTGATGTTTCTACTTAGTGTGATGTTCCGGTTGAACTTCCTTTCAATGCATGTGCTTTTCC